AAAAATGACAGCCAAATACAATTTATTTGGTTATTTTGAATTCATCAAAGGGAGAAGCAAAGTGTTTCATTTTATTGTCTGGTGGTAGTGATGTGCGTGTGTGTGGGCGGGTATTCCCTACTACGTGGGGACAATTTTTGGCATGCACCCCTACTTGCAGGGGCCAACTGGTACTTATGGGGACGTCAGCCTGGTCTCCTTTGGGGGAAAGCTGTGTCAGGAGTTAGGTTTAGGACTATGAATTGAGTTTAGGTTTAGGGTCAGGTATGTGTACATGTGAGGTTAGGGTTAGGGGGTAAAGAGTCAGGGTTAGGCTGTAGAAATTAATGGAAGTCAATGCAATGTCCCCACAAAGATAGCTGTATAAAAAAGGTGTGAGGGGGGCAACATAAATCCAGTATTTGAGTCTTGCTGTAACGTTGCTCCCTCACAGGCTGCCAGTCTCGCCTGTCAAGCTGACTGTTATTTCCCGGCGCGGCYGGGGGCAAAGTGGCAGTATTATGGAGTTAAATGTCATGTGCCTCATTAACATTTGCTTCCCRGTAGTAATTGGTTGCTCTTTATGGACGAAATGAGACCTTATGAGACAAAAGAGCAGCTGCTTGCTTTCAACAACTTCTGCCACAAAGAACCAAAACCCTAAATTGACCACTTGTGTCTCATAACTTAATTAAAGTTTTCTTTAAAAAAAATAAATAAATAAAATTAAAAACAGCAGGTTTATTAACTGTAACCATTTCTCCAACCAGCATGTCRTCTCTCTCATGTTGTTCATGTATGATTGATGCTGCATCAGTTCTGATGAGACACATGTTTAACAAATAATTTAAAATCCACATTTTTGGCTGCTTTTTAACTATTTTTAAATCCATCCATCCATCCATTTTCTGTACACGCTTCTTCCTTTTCAGGGTCGCGTGGGTCACTGGTGCCCATATCCAGCATGTATCTAAACCCTATCTTGAAAATTATGGAGGACTGAAACTGGCATATTTAAAATTTAAAGCAGGAATAAATAAATAGCCCAATAAATAAATACACTTAAAATGCCCCAGTTAATTTAATAAAGGAGAACTTTACCTCGTGTTTGATGATTTCATTTACCTTCATATTTATTTTTCCAGCTTAATTTCAACAAATTTTATATTTTAGCAAATAATTTAAATATTACTGCTTAAAAAATTCATTGGTAAATTATTTATGAGATAGTCTTTCATAATAAGAAACAGTAAATCATGTTTATACTTTCTTAACAATATTTGTTAAACCCAAATTATCTCAGAATGAAGTTACAAGCTAATCATTCCTAATTAATGCTTAGTATCTCATGAATATGAGAAATTGTCTTATTTATATTATCGTATCTTTATATTTATGAGTTTCTTTATGACAAACCTAATAATTATGATATACAGTAAGCTGCAATTATATTCTCACAATTATAAAAGGGTGATATTATTATCTCTCGTGAATATGACTGAACACTTTTACTGTTACGAAATATTAAGTCATAATTATCTCATAACATGAAAGGTCTAGTTCTTAACTATGAGAGTATTTCCCTAATATGACTTACCAATCTCATAATATTGACCTAGCAAACTATGCTTATGAAATTTCAAGRTGTATTTATGAGATATATCCTATGAGAAAGTTAAATTAAACTTTTGACATTTTTTTCATAACTAAGATAAAGCAAAACCTGTTTATCAAATGCTACCTCCAAATGATGAAGATTAGAAACTCCCTAATATTTCTGACCTAACTCTTACACAGTTATGAGATTCTAAGTCCAAACTATGTCATAATGTTTTAGACTGAAGTCATCAATATGATTATATATTAGTTTATTATCCACAGCTTATTTCTATTGCTTAGAATCTCAAAAGAGAAATTAAGCCATATATATGATATGAAAAAACTAAATTATATATTTCTCCTACAACTAACTTTTCTCATATTGTACAAAAATTGTAAATATACTCTATAAAAATCATGAAAGAAAGAGTTATAATAAATTATCTCATAAAAATTATGGAATTTTTCATCATGCTTATGAGGATGATATCTAATAACTATAAGTGGTTTATACTCTCTCATATTTCACAAATATGAGAACCTAAGTTTGATTGATTGATTGATTGATTGATTGACACCAGTACATCCATTATTAGTACTTGGATGCAAGAAAGTGAGAATCACTTATTTCCATTGTGGTCCAAAGATGTAATTAATTGTAATTAATTATAATTATATAATTACATAATAAATATACTTATAATGAATTCATTATGAGATACAAAATTATCACTATCAGGTCCTTGGTCATGATTATAAGGTGCTATTTATTAATTACGAGAAGCAAATCTGCAAATATATCTTTAAATAGTTTTATGCGAGACTATGTGAAGACTTTTTTTATCAGTGGCGTAAATAGACTTCCATACAACATGAACGTAGCTGTCGAGCTAGCTGCTGTAAGTTACTGAGGTACAGAAGACTTTAACAGGCAACAGTGATTCAGCGAGCTAGCTTAGAAAAAAATAAAATAAATAATAAAATAAAGACGGACCGACGTTAATGTCCACTCTGGTCTGAATCGGGACATCGCTGGCGTCATCTATCACCGACTGTCTGCATAAGAAGATGTATGGAAGAAGGTCGGGATGACAGGAAGATGGCAAACGGGGTTGGAAGTGAGTACCATCGGTGCACAGCTCAACGCTTTTGTAGAAAAATACCACCACTGTAACTTCCCTTCATGGCAGCCTCCGTTCCCTGCAGGGGGAGAGGAAGCTGGCTGCAAGGATACATAATGCTGCTTGTCCTCCCGAGTTGACCAGCTTTCTTTGCCACAGTGTTTGCATTTGTATTTAATCGGAACGTTATTTCCATAGCGCGTCTGCGGACGGCCGGTTCCCAGCAGTTGCGTGTTTTTCGAGCACAAAATAAGAGTGACGCCTTTGCTGTCAATGGCAGGCCAGACYACGATCAGCGGAGTATTATAGACGCTGGGTCTAACATGCATCCCGCAAATTGTGTCATGTTTCCTCCTCGCATCATGCAGAACACAAGCTGCTCGTGATTGGACCAACAGAGCCATGGTCAGTGAGAGAGAAGCTGTGTTTGGCCACATCTGTCATGAAGAGTGGAGATCAGAACTGGTGAGTTATTTTAAATTAGTATTATTTTATTTACTACAAAACTAGTGACAATAATATTGTGTGCATGTACAACTCAGTGTGTATCATGTAGAGTCATATAAAGTGTCACAGCAAAAATGCCAGTGTTAATTTAACACCCACAAAGTGTCTGTATGTGTCCACACTTGCTGGTGTTAAAATAACATTTGTGAAAGTGTTAAATTTTAACACTCATTTCTTTGTTAATTTAACACCAACCAGTGTTAAATATTCAACAATTCTTGGTGTCACATTAATATAAAATAGTGTTAAAAGTAACACCAGCCAGTGTTAAACATTCAGCAATACTGGGCGTCATATTAACATTTCACCAGTGTTAAAATAAAGCGTTAAAAGTAACACCAGTGTATTATTATTATTATTATTATTATTATTATTAACAAAGGAAATTGTGTTTGTAAGATTAAGAGACACCGCAAAGTTTTATAACACCATCAAATTGAGAGTGTAAATTTAACACTCAGAGTTAATATTAACTCTAGTAGTTAGTAGAAAAGCTTAACGGAGTCACCCTTCTTCACACACCAGGAAGTACCTCTCACTCATGGTGTCGWTTTTTGGCCAAAAACATAAACTTAAAGTTGAACAACTTGATCAAACTGAACAAGAAAACTAACCAGAACAACTCATTTTTACTCTCATGAACTTCTTTAATAGTCATAAACAGGCAAAAGCATCATTTCTGCAAGATTTCTCAGCAAGGAATGCTGGGTAAATGCTGGTCTGCCTGACATGAGGTGGAAGAGGGCGGGGCTTTTCACAATACTTCTTTTAACACTGCATGGTGTCATATAGCAACACTGTTAAGTGTTATATAAGACTTAACTGTGGGTGGAGCTGAGACAACACTGAGGAAATCAACACAGTGAATTAACACCAACACTGGGTGTGAGTGTACTCAGAAAGGGTTAAAATAACACTAYGGAGTGTTAAATCAACACCCAAAAGTTTAACACTGAAATTTTAACACTCGTGRTTTTGCTYTGTAARACAGGCTGATCATATAGGYTTGTTTATTTAATAAACAAAAATGAAACAAAACTGTTAAAAACCCACGMAGGTGTGGGCCAGATCTGGTGTCAAACTGGCACAGCTGGCATGACAAGTGTTTTGTTAAACAGATGTGGGCCATGTCTGCCAATGATGGCTATGTTTTTAACATGGCATGCCACAACTGGCCCAGTTGTGGTTTGGTTCATATGGTGCTGGCGCATGCATGGACCACCTCTGGCAAACCACGTCTGGGCCACCAAAGGGGCTGTCCTTCTTTGTGGTATCTGAGCATTAGTGCCTTGTGATGATCAGATGATTCTTTGTAGGAAAGTCTTTTAATGTTTTGAATGCATCCCTTTCAACAGGGTGTCTGTGAGCCGGGCCATCAAACCATTTGCCGAGCCAGGACGTCCGCCGGACTGGTTTTCTCAGAAGGTAATCGTGTAGATACTGAAATCATGATTAGTGCAGCAGATCTCTTGTCTCGTCACAAAGCTGATCTTTCATTCCTCTTTGGATCCTCACAGCACTGTGCCTCCAAATACTCAGAGCTGCTGGAAACAACAGAGGCCCCAAAGTGAGTCAAAAACATATTTTAGATGTTAGATTTCAAGCTAAAAACGTTAGATTTCGAACTTGGCAGTTCTACAAACTAGTGGACTTATTACCTGCAGGCGGAAGCGCGGTGAGAGAGGGGAGGTGGTGGAGACGGTGGAAGATGTGATCGTACGCAGACTGACATCTGAGAGGATTGAAGAACTAAAGAAGCTGATCAAAGAAACTCAGGAAATGCATAGGTAACTACATGAAAAAAAGAACAACAACACTGTTGTACTATTCAGTTAAACTCCTTCTGTAACGGGATGAACATTTTCTATTTCCACAGGAAGCTGAAGAAAGAGGCTGAGCTGATTCAAACAGGACATCTAGATTCCAGACTGGAAGAGCTCTGGGAAGAAATCCAGCTGTAAGACGCAACAAATCTTACATAAAACATGTTAACATTGCATTATTTGGGTGTAAAGGTCGGATAAACAAGATGCCAACAAGAAACTTTGTGTGTTTGACAGGAAGCAAAAGATGGAGGAGGAGGAAGCAGATCTGAAAAGAAAAAACACAGATGCTGCTTATCAGGGTATTCTCTCTACTGTTTTATTTAATCTTAAAGACATCAACGATTAATTCATTTCTATTTTTCTAATTGCTAGTAAATTTTAATCTTTTTTACTGCTGTCACTTTATCCAGTGTATTACTTACAAATTAGTATTTRCCTCTTGGAAATAAGCAGTTTAATGAAAAGCTAGCGTTTTATGGGGGCTGTGGCAGCTTGGCGGTCAGTGCCACAGTCATCTTTGTGATACAATGAATTTATTGGATTTTCTTGTAAATCTAAACGCAGGTTGTTTTAAAAACATCATCTTTTGCYTGTCTAATAAGAAGATCCTCGCTCTGCTGCTCCTCCCTCTTTCAGCCAGACAGGCGGCAAGGAACGCGCCGAAGCGGATTCCCAGCGTCTCCATGCATTTGCCCTCAGCTTGTAGCTCCCCGAGCCAAGAGTTCCCACCAGGGGACCAACTGGAAGGCTTGACCCTTGATCTCCCATCCTTAAAGAATGTGAGTTTTCCGTGGGATTTTAAAACTCTTCAGTTTTAAGGAAGGTTGCTTTTATTTTCCTAGAAAAAAATCACATTCGGTAAAAATGTGGGGCACTTGAAAGCTAAAAGGAACAATACATTAGCTAAAAGCTAAAAGTAGGACATGGTATCTAGAAGATAAAATTAGCAAAATACTAAAATCAGTAAGATGTTTAGCTAAAAGCACCAAATGTTAAGCTGGTAACTAACTGAAAGTATAAAAAATGTAGCTAAAGTAGTAAAATGTTGGTGACTAAATGCTAAAAGTAGCAAAAGGCAAGCTGACAGGATGAAAAGTCGAACTAGAAGCTAAAAGATGAGAAATACTAAAAACAAAATGTAGCAAAAGTTAAGTTAAAGCAGCAAACGATAAGGAATAACAAAAAGCTGCTAAAAGCCAGAAACAGTAATAGCCAAATGTAGCAAAACAGTGGCTAAAAGCTAAATTTTGCATAAAAAGATATAATGTTTTTAAAATGATTGAACAAATCTTATTTTATTCTCAAAATGAAAAAATTATTTTAAATATTTTGGAAAAAATGTAAATGTGAAAATCCAAAAGATTTTTTATTTTCTAATTTTGAGTGTCTAAAACAGCAGACTGTGCAGAACTAGTTAGATCACAAGTAACACGTAAAAAAAAATACTCAACTTGTAAACATTAGTGTGAATGCTGAGTCAGGATTATGACTCATCATGTAGGACAGTTTCAGTTTGTTTTTGTGTCAACACGTTTACATTTTCAACATGTTTTTGTTATTATCAAAGCGTAAACATTTCTTGCTCTTCTGAGATGATTTTATTTATTTGGAGAAAAACTGGTCCAACATTTCTAACCGTTTCCTTGAAATAAGGGAAGATAACAAACATATATTTTGAAGCATCTCTTCAGCTGTCTCTTTTTTTCCCCCTAGACTTCAGGAACAGTGAGGTCCATGACATTTTTTGAAACCTCCGGAGCTTGTAACGATGACGTCGGCCACGGGGCCGGTCTGGATGATCCGACTCAAAAGAAGCCCCTGAGTCAAAAAGCTACGCCCCCACCATCTCCACTCCTGTCAGAGTTACTGAAGAAAGGCAGCATCTTGGCCACAAATGCCAGACTGGTATGTGGAGAGTCCCACTGTTGTCTGAGACTGCACAGTTCCAAAGTTTCTCTCATAATATGAAGTTACTGTGTTTTTAAGTGTGTGATGAAGGTAAAATTGAGCTTTGGTATACACAAATACCTTTTAAGAATTTCAAACAAGCAAAGACATTGAGAGGCCAAATAATACAGCTAAAGATGCTACTCGCTAATCATTATAAAGAAATCTTTCATTGCTAAAAAAAAAGCCAACCTGCAGAGACTAAACAGAACGTTCAGCAGTTAAAACAACTCGACATTAAACATAATTTTACAATTGGCAATAATTAATTCAAAGTTAAACGATAAACAGATGGCGCAAGGTTCGTTCCAAGATAAGAACAGCCAAGAACTTCACTAAGTCCTCACAACAGCTAATTAATGACGGCAAACTATTTATCCCAGCGAATATRCTGAAAACTTACTGGTCAGAATGGGAAACCGGTCCAAACACAAATGATTGCAGAAAGAAGAGTGACAGTATGGTGCTGGCACTTGATGTTCTAGAGCAGTGTTTCCCAAAGTTGGGGTCGGGACCCAAAGTGGGGTCTCGAAACGTCAAGGTGGGGTCCTGAAAAG